CTCCTTATCCATTAAAGTTTTATCAAGATAGAAGCAGTTCAGTCACATCTTTAGGCTCTACCGATTCTAATGCTCTTGCTGTTTCTGCCATATCTGCAGTTACTTCCTCCACTGAGATCTTCAACCCCTTAAAGTCCCTTAAATTTGTGAGATTTGGAGTCAAGTTCTTTCAAAGTCCTCTTAATGTTGATTTCCCAACCTCTTCCCACAAATCATGAATGGTCTTTTTGGCATCTAGAAAGGATAATCATTTCCAGGTTTTCAGTTTACTTTGCCTGGATCCATCAGAGCAATTACTACAACAGTTATTGCCTTATGAAGAGTTGAAAGTCAAAATTACTCCTTATCTGTGGGCTGCAGAATGAATGTGTGTGAGCAGGCCTGAAAGCAACATTAATTTTGTATATCTCCCATCAGAACTCTTGGGTGGCCAGGTGCATTGTCAAGGAGCAGTAATACTTTGCAAAAAGTTTTTTTTTTCCAGAGCAGTAAATCTCAACAGTGGGCTTAAAATATTCAGTTAACCACAGGTAAAGAGATGAGTTGCCCTCAAGCTTTGTTCTTTTTATAGAGCAAAGGCAGAGTAAGTTTAGCATAGTTCTTAAGGGCTCTAGGGTTATTCAGAATGGTAAATGAGCATTAGCTTCAACTTAAAGTCACCAGCTACATTAGCTTTTGACAAAACTCAGCCTGTCCTTGGATGCTTTGAAGCCAGACATTACTTCTGGATAGCTTGTTGCAGCTTCTATACCAGCTTGCGCTTTTATGTTATAAAGACAGCTTCGTTCCTTCAGTCTCAGGAACCAGCCTCTGGTAGCTTTAAACTTTTCTCCTACTGCTTCTTCATCTCTCTGAGCCTTTGTGGAATTGAGACTTAGGACCTTGCTGTGGATTAAGCTTTGGCTTAGGGGAGTGTTGTAGGTTGTTTGTTCTTGTATCTGGACCACTAAAACTTTCTCCATGTCACCAGTGATACTGTTTAGCTTTTTAAATTGTGTGTTCACTGGAGTAACACTTCTAACTTCCTGTAAGAATTTTTCCTTTGCATTCATAGCTTGGCTAACTGTTCGATACGAGTGGCCTAACTCACAGCCTCTTGCCTTTCAACATGTCTTCCTCACTAACCTTAATCATTTCTAGCTTTTGATTTAAAATACGACGTGAGAGTTTTTCTTTCACTTGAACACTTAAAGGCCATTAATTTGTCTAATTTTAGTATTATTATGTCTCAGGAATAGGGAGGCCTAAGAGGCAAGGAAAGAAATTGGGGAGGAGGGGCAGGGAAGACAGATGCTGACAGGTAAAGCAGTCAGAACACACACAACGTTTATCAGTTAAGTTTGTCTTTGGATATGGTTTGTGGCACCCCAAAACAATTCCATCAGAGGTCACTGGTCATATAGATCATCATTACAGATATAACAATAATGATGTAAAAGTTTAAAAGATTGTGAGAGTTACTAACTGTGACATAGACGTGAAGTGACTAACTAACTGCTGTTGGAAAAATGGAGCCAAATAGACTTGCTTGATGCACGGTTGCCACAGACCCTCAGTGTGTGACAGTGTGATACCCCTGAAGCACAAAAAACCAAAAGCACAATAAAACCAGGTGTGTCTGTACCTGTGTTTCTCACCTTCCTGAGATTCTCCTCTTGCTGATAGGTAGATTCTGTGACATTTCTCTTGCTTTTGGTGCCGGTTTCATTTTGGATGCTTTTATTGTTGATATATACACTTTGGGAACTTAAAGTTTACATTATAAATAGTAGTGATATTGTCAGTGATAATGAAATACTATCATTCAGGATACTAAGGTTTAAGATTAGAACAGTGTATTTGCTAGATATTATCTGAATACCTTAATGAGACTGTTCTGTTTGGATAAAAACAGATGTCTTATCATTGGGTTTTTTTTTTTTTTCTTTTTTTTTTTGGCTGTGCTATGCAGCATGTGCTGCTGCACTCAATATGCCAGCAAATTTGGAAAACTCAAGTGGCCACAGGACTGGAAAAGGTCAGTTTGCATTCCAATCCCAAAGAAAGGCAATGCCAAAGAATGCTCTAACTACTGCATAATTGCCCGCATCTCACATGCTAGCAAGATAATGCTCAAAATTCTCCAAGCCAGGCTTCAATAGTACGTGAACCGTGAACTTCCAGATGTTCAAGCTGGATTTAGAAAAGGCAGAGGAACCAGAGATCAAATTGCCAACATCCATTGGATCATTGAAAAAGCGAGAGAGTTCCAGAAAAACATCTATATCTGCTTTATTGACTATGCCAAAGCATTTGACTGTGTGGATCACAATAAACTGCAAAATTCTTCAAGAGATGGGAATACCAGAGCACCTGACCTGCCTCCTGAGAAATCTCTATGCAGGTCAGGAAGCAACAGTTAGAACTGGACATGGAACAACACAGTGGTTCCAAATGGGGAAGGGAGTACATCAGGGCTGTATATTGTCACCCTGCTTATTTAACTTATATGCAGAGTACATTATGAGAAATGCTGGGCTGGATGAAGCACAAGCTGGAATCAAGATTGCCAGGAGAAATATCAATAACCTCAGATATGCAGATTACACCACCCTTATGGCAGAAAGTGAAGAAGAACTAAAGAGCCTCTTGATGAAAGTCAAAGAGGAGAGTGAAAAAGTTGGCTTAAAGAGTGAAAAAGTTGTCTTAAAGCTCAACATTCAGAACACTAAGATCACCCAGTGTTGAAGCATCAAAACTTCATTCTTTTATATGACTGAAAAATATTCCATTGTATGTATGTACCTCAATTTGTTTATCCACTCATCTGTTGATGGACATATGGATTGTTTCCATCTTTTGGCTATTATGAGTAATCCTGCTATAAATATTTCATGTACAAGTTTTTATATGGTCATAGGTTTTCATTTCTTTTGAATATATTCCAACAGTGGAATTGCTCAGTTATATGGTAATTCTGTGTTTTTAACATTTTGAGGAACTGCCAAACTGTTTTCTCAGTGGCTTCATTATTTCCCATTTTTAGATTATATTTTATAGGCATCCTAGTGAATCTGAAATGGTATCTCATTGTGATTTTGACCTGCATTTCCTTAATGACTGGTGAGGTTGAGCATCTTTTCATGTTTTGTTTCTTTTCTTTTTTTTCCATTTGTTATATATTCGTTGGAGAAAGGAGAAATGTGTATTCAAGTTCATTGTTCGTTTTTAAATTAGGTTGCTTATTAGGTCTCTTAATTGCTGAGTTCCAAGAATTCTCTATATATTTTTATACTAAATCCTTATCAGACATGGATTTGAAAACTTACTTTCATTCTGTGAGTTGTCTTTTCAGTTTCTTGATAATGTCCTGTGATGCACAAAAAAAGTTACCTATTTCTTGCTCACGCTTTGGAGTCAAGTCTCCGAATCCACTGCCAAATTTGAATTCATGAGTATTTACCCCTGTGTTTTCTTCTAAGAGTTTTATAATTTTAACCCTTGGATTGGGTCATTGATCTGTTTTGAGTTCATTTTTGTGTGTGAAGTTAGAAAGTTGTATATGAAACATAAATATAAAATTGGCATGTAACAACCAGATTTCTTAGTGCCATTTGTTTTTTTGTTTTGTTTTTGGTTTGGGGGGGCTTGTTTTGTTTTTTGGCTTCACTTCACAGTTTTTGGGATCCCAGTTCCCTGGCCAGGGACTGAACCCGGGCACACAACCGTCAAAGCCTGGTCTCCCAACCACTGGACCACCGAGGAAACCCCTCAGCACCTTTGTTGAGGAGACTTTCCTTTCCCTATTGAATCATCTTAGAGCCTTTGTAAAGTATCAGTCGCACATAGGTTATTGAGGTTTATTTTTAGACATTTAGTGGCACCGCTTATTGGTGAGAGCTGGCCTCACAACTGCAATATCTAGCCAGACAAAATATCATGGCTTTTGCATTAGTTTGTGCCATCAGTCTATTAATAATTCACTATGATAGATACTAATATAAAAATCATTTGACGGTACTTAAGGACAGTTGACCATTGAACAACGCAGGGGTTAGGGTTACCAGCGCTCCACAGAGTCAAAAATCTGCATGTAACTTTTAATTGGTCCTTCTTTTCCTAGGTTCCTCTGTATCCACGGTTCCACATTCTCAGATTCGAACAACCACAGATTGTACAGTGCTGTAGTATTTACTATTAAAAAGAGTCACATTTAAGTGGACCAGTACAGTTCAAACCTGTGTTGTTCAAGGGTCAACTGTATTTACATTCATTTGTAGGTAAAGAACTGTAATTTTTTCTTTTGTCCTTTGCAAGCAGAAATAGCAGACTAAGATATTGGGTTTTTGTTTTAAAAGTTTATCTCCACCAAAAAGGAGAAGCTTTATGGCTACTGTTGGATGTTCCTTCTGATGATCTTTTTTCACTTTTTGTTCTTGCAGTAACAGTACTTTCTGAGTAAAAATGAGTTTGAAGACTTGAAAGTTTTATACTATTTAAAATATGGAAGTCTAAATGTACTGGCTTTCCCACTGTACACTTATTTTCTACTAGAAAATTTTATAGACTTGAGTTTCTGAATGCATAGTTAATTTATGATAAATTGAATTACAAAAATATAGTGTTCAAATTTTATTATTTATTTTAAAACTGTATTGTGGTACATCTCAAAGAAAGTGGTAGAATATTGTGAGGAAATAGTAGGTATTGGATATACGGGAAAAAACATAGTGTTAAAATGTGTAACTTTTAAAGCACTGTTTCATACAAAATTTATTCATTTTCTAAGGTGGTATTTTATACCTGCTATAATGGTACACACTTTTAAAAAGGGGAAAGGACCTAGTGCCAATTATATTGTCATAATTCCATTCATAATACTGTTGTCATGAGCCTTTCTGAAAGACATGTAGCTGTATATATCAGTAAGTTTCTTTTCAGGTACTTAATGACCTTGATGTATTTATGTCTTTTATTCTTGCTTTAGTAACTCTATATTAATAGTCTGTTTTCAATTTTAGATATGAATATCGTGTAGAGATGGTTCATCAATCCTGCAATGATCCTACCAAAAATATCATTCGAGAATTTGCATCTGACTTTGAAGTTGGAGAATGCTGGGGTTATAATAGATTTTTCCGTTTGGACTTACTTGCAAATGAAGGATACTTGAATCGACAGAATGATACAGTGATTTTAAGGTAATAGGAAACATTCGTATTTTGGCATGTATCACAGGGAATAATGTCATCAGAACTTTAAAGTCTTCACGTAACAAAGATGAATATTAAAATCTATACTAACTGTAACCCTACCATATTCTTACCCATTTAATTTCAGAAGTCCTGTGTGGTCAGTGAATAAGCTAGTGAGAAATGTGTGTGACGTTTAGTTAGTAATTCCATAAAAAATGGACTTCCCCAGTGGCTCAGCAGTAAAGAATCTGCCTGTAATGCAGGAGACCTGGGTTCAGTCCCTGGGTCGGAAAGATCCCCAGGAGGAGGGCATGGCAACCCACTCTAGTATTCTTGCCTGGAGAATTCCATGCACTGAGGAGCCTGGCAGGCGTCAGTCCACAGGGTCGCAGAGTCAAACATGTCTGAAGCAACGGAGCTCGCTCGTTCTCCATAAAGAGTAAACTACTCTTTCCAATAAGCATGGTAATGTCCCATTTATCTGTTGAAATTCTAGCAGCCCCACCATTTGGAAATTCAAGAATAGCATGAGATCAAGTAATTTTTTCCCCCCACTGGAAATTGTGTATTGTTTTTGGATGGCTGGCTTTGTAAGCTTAATTTCACAAAAATATTTTCAGTTTCTTCTAGATAATAGCAAATTAAGGGAATACAGATGAAAATTGATGAAAATAAGCTAAGAGTTGGTAGTTGATATGTCATTTATAATGAAGGACAGAACATAAGCAGTGACTGTAGAATTGCAACAGCCCTGTTTAATATTGGGGTATCTTTATAATTTAGTTTTGGGGCATCATTACACCCTATTTTAATTTGATGATCAAAATGAGAGCTTGAGTAGTAAAAAAAAGAAATTCAAATATATTTTAAACTGAGAGGTTTCCGAGTGTTCAACAGTTTTAAGTTTCCATCAAATAATTTTAAAAGCTCTTTTTTCCTTAAAAGAGATTTAATATGTTCTTAAATTTAATTTATTTTGATTTCTTTTCCTTGAGCATGCTGGATGAGTTGCTGTTATATCACCCTTTTTCTATTATGTGTTCTTCATAACTTTTCTGGGATAATAAGAAAATGAAAAAAGGATTGCATTTTGAGTGTAGAAAATAATTTATGTTTTTGTCATTGTTTCTTTGGGGAGATTAGTTTACTACCATTTTATAACTTTTAGGTTCTGTTATTCACTAAAAGGAGTAATTTGTTGCTGTTTCATAATTTAACCAGAAAGACTGCACAATTACTCAAATATCAATTTTACCAGCCTCCAAAACAGCTGTTATTTATGGCCTTAGTCATCTTATTGGAATCGTAGTAGTATTGACTCTTTCTGATGATCTGTATGAGAGACTTTCCTTTCTTCAATGCAGTTTAGCCCAACCTTGGGGTCTTTATTTTGGCTATTCCTATTTATAGTGGAACTTGAATGTTAGTATAGCAACAGGTTCTTGTTGTGATGTTTGATTATCATTCACTATCATTATCAGTATAATTAATTCAGCAACTTTTCCTGAGTCTGTGCCTGGCACTGAGCCAGTGTATGTATATTACTATATATACACATACATAGAAACTAATATTATTTTTGGTCTTAGCTGTGGCACATGGGATCTTCATTGTGCTGGGCAGGCTTTTTCTCTAGTTCTGACGTGTGAGCTCCAGCGTGCAAGGGCCCTGCAGTTTGCAGCATGCAGGCTCTCTTGTTGAGGCACTGGGCTCAGTAGTTGTGATGCTTAATAGCCCTCCAGTATGTAGGGTCTTAGTTCCCTGACCAGGAATTGAGCCCTCATCCCCTGCATTGGCAGGTGAATTCAGTTGAAGCTGAGAAAAGAAGAGAAGCTAAAGGCAAAGGAGAAAAGGAAAGATATACCCATTTGAATGCAGAGTTCCAAAGAGTAGCACAGAGAGATAAAGCCTTACTCAGCAATCAATGCCAAGAAATACAGGAAAACAGTAGAATGGGAAAGACCAGAGATCTCTTCAAGAAAATTAGAGATATCAAGGGAGCATTTCATGCAAAGATGGGCTCAATAAAGGACAGAAATAGTATGGACCTAACAGAAGCAGAAGATATTAAGAAGAGGTGGCAAGGATACACAGAAGAACTGTACAAAAAGATCTTCATGACCCAAAAAAACTACGATGGTGTGATCACTCACCTAGAGCCCAGACATCCTGGAGTATGAAGTCAAGTGAGCCTTAGGAAGCATCACTACGAACAAAGCTAGTGGAGGCAATGGAATTCCAGCTGAGCTATTTCAAATCCTGAAAGATGCTGTGAAAGTGCTGCACTCAATATGCCAGCAAATTTAGAAAACTCATCAGTGGCCATAGGATTCAGTTTTCACCCCAATCCCAAAGAAAGGCAATGGCAAAGAATGCTCAAACTACTGCACAGTTGCACTCATCTCACACGTTAGTAAAATAATGCTCAAAATTCTCCAAGCCAGGCTTCAACAGTACATGAACTGTGAACTTCCAGATGTTCAAGCTGGATTTAGAAAAAGCAGAGGAACCAAAAATCAAATTGCCAACGTCCGTTGGAGCATAGAAAAAGTGAGAGAGTTCCAGAGAAATATCTACTTTTGCTTTTATTGACTATGCCAAAGCCTTTCACTGTGTGATCACCATAAACTGTGGAAAATTCTTAAAGAAATAGGAATACCAGACCACCTGACCTGCCTCTTGAGAAATCTGTATGCAAATCAAAAGCAACAGTTAGAACCGAACATGGAACAACAGACTGGTTCCAAATCAGGAAATGAATACATCAAGGTTGTATATTGTCACCTTGCTTACTTAACATATGCAGGGTATATCATGTGAAATGCGGGCTGGATGAAGCACAAGCTGGAATCAAGATTGCCAGAAGTATCAATAGCCTCAGATATGCAGATGACACCACCCTTATAGCAGAAAGTGAAGAAGAACTAAAGAACCTCTTGATGAAAGTGAAAGAGGAAAGCGAAAAGGTTGGCTTAAAACTCAACATTCAGAAAACTAAGATCATGGTGTCCCGTCCCATCACTTCATGGCAAATAGATGGGAAACAATGGAAACAGTAAGAGACTTTATTTTTTTTGCTCCAAAAATCAGTGCAGATGGTAACTTCAGTTCAGTTCAGTTCAGTTCAGTTGCTCAGTCATGTCCAACTCTTTGCGAGCCCATGAATCGCAGCATGCCAGGCCTCCCTGTCCATCACAAACTCCCGGAGTTTACTCAAACTCATGTCCACACAGTCAGCAATGCCATCCAACCATCTCATCCTCTGTCGTCCCCTTCTCCTCCTGCCCCCAATCCCTCCCAGCATCAGGGTCTTTTCCAATGAGTCAACTCTTAGCATGAGGTGGCCAAAGTATTGGAGTTTCAGCTTCAGCATCAGTCCTTCCAGTGAACACCCAGGACTTACCTCCTTCAGGATGGACTGGTTGGATCTCCTTACAGTCCAAGGGACTCAAGAGTCTTCTCCAGCACCATAGTTCAAACGAATCAATTTTTCAGCGCTCAGCTTTCTTCACAGTCCAACTCTCACATCCATACACGACGACTGGAAAGACCACAGCCTTGACCAGACGGACCTTTGTTGGCAAAGTAATGTCTCTGCTTTTTAATATGCTATCTAGGTTGGTCATAACTTTCCTTCCAAGGAGTAAGCGTCTTTTAATTTCATGGCTGCAGTCACCATCTGCAGTGATTTTGGAGCCCAAAAAAATAAATCTGACCCTGTTTCCCATGAGGTGATAGGACCAGATGCCATGATCTTAGTTTTCTGAATGTTAAGCTTTAAGGCAACTTTTTCACTCTCCTCTTTCACTTTCATCAAGAGGCTTTTTAGTTCCTCTTCACTTTCTGCCATAAGGGTGGTGTCATCTGCATATCTGAGGTTATTGATATTTCTTCTGGCAGTCTTGATTCCAGCTTGTGCTTCTTCCAGCCCAGCATTTCTCATGATGTACTCTGCATATAAGTTAAATAAGCAGGGTGACAATATACAACCTTGACGTACTCCTTTTCCTATTTGGAACCAGTCTGTTGTTCTATGTCCAGTTCTAAACTACAGCCATGCAATTAAAAGACACTTGCTCTTTGGAGGAAAAGCTATAACCAACCTAGACAGCATAGTAAAAGGCAGAGACATTACTTTGCTGACAGAGGTCCGTCTAGTCAAAGCTGTGGTTTTTCCATTAGTCATGTGTGGATATGAGATTTGGACTATAAAGAAAGCTCTCTGAGAGCTGAAGAATTGATGCTTTTGAACTGTGGTGTTGGAGAAGTCTCTTGAGAGTCCCTTGGACTGCAAGCAGATCCAACCAGTCCATCCTAAAGGAAATCAGTTCTAAATATTCACTGGAAGGACTGATGATGGAGCTGAAACTCCAATACTTTGGCCACCTGATTCAAAGAACTGAGTCATTGGAAAAGACCCTGATGCCGGGAACGATTGAAGGCAGGAGGAGAAGGGAATGACAGAGAATGGGATGGTTGGATGGCATCACCAACTCAATAGACATGAGTTTGAGTAAGCTCCAAGCATTGGTTTTTCATTATAGCGTATAACATTTATATATTTAATGAGGGCTTGTTCAAAATTTAAAACCTTAATAGAATATTCTGATGGAATTTATATTTTTTAGAAAGTTATTTAGGTCTATGCTATATATAGAAATTCTTTCATTGAAAGAGATAGTTAAGAATTTTACCTGATGTTTGCTTTTCTTTTAATGGCACAGATCCTAAAACTAATATGCAGGGTCAGTTCCATTAGTCATTTAAAGATAATACGTTTCATATAGTCTCACCAGTGTCCAACCTGTGTATGCTATCTGTCAGTATCCACTTAGAATAGTGGTTGAGTGAATCATCTCTACCCTTTGATGCATGAGTATCCTTAACTAAAAATAGTTATTTGCTGCAGATAGCTGTTTGGTGGTCAGTAGATTCCTACACTAGCTCTAAAATCCTAGAAAAAACAGGATGGTAGTTCACATAAGGGTGGCAAAACTAGAAGAGCAATTTTGTGTGTGTGCTCAGTTGCTGATTGATGTCCAGCCCCTTGTGACTCCATGGACTGTAGCCCACCAGGCTCCTCTGTTCATGGAATTTTCCAGGCAAGAATACTGGAGAAAGTTGCCATTTCCTACTCCAAGCATCTTCCTGTCTCCTGCACAGGCAGACAAATTCTTTACCACTGAGCCACTCGGGAAGTCCAGAGAGGGATTTGCAGGCTTCCAAGCTAGCCTTGCTTCCTGTGGCTCTTCCTTTCTTTAGAAACATCTTTATGCATTAGTGTAATTTTTTTCACTATAAATTGAGTCATGTTTATCTAACAGGGTAGGTGTGGGGTTTTAAGTTTTTTTGCTTTAGAAAGTGTTAGTTTTTTTTACAGTACAGATAACTCTGAAGAGATCAAGATCCTGTCTTATATCCTATTTTATGCTTTAATACATAGAGATAGCTGTTTTTTTCCCTAACCCTATCTTTTTTTTTCTTTTTACTAGTGTGTAGGAAATATGGGAACATGAGATGGAAGAGGGAATGAAAAAGGGCAGTGCCTAAAATAAACTTTGCTTGTTTTGCTGGGGTCTGACCTAGGCAAGAAGAGAGAATGAAGCATTAGCTATCTCCTTCCTGCATAGTATGATCCTCCTCCCAGCTTAGGATCAGCTGTGTATTTGAGGTAGATTCTTATAGTAAATGTATTTTAAGTAGGTTAGTTTAGAAGCTTAACCATGATGTGTAATGTTACTTCTTTAGAAAAGCATAGTTTGAATTTGGCAGCTGACTTAGACATAAATTTTCAGAACCACATGTCATTATAGTTAGTGGACTGCATGTATACACGGCAAATACCAGGAGCTCTGAGTTCTGAACTTTGGCCTCATTTTTGTGCTCAGTGCTCAGTCACGTTCAGCTCTTTACCACCGCGTGGAATGTAGCCTGCCGAGCTCCTCTGTCCATGGGCTTTCCCAGGCAAGAATACTGGAGTGGGTTGCCCTGTCCTCCTCCAGGAGATCTTCCTGACCCAAAGATTGAACCCACATCTCCTGTGTCTTCTGCATTGGCAGGAGAGTTTTTTTTACCACTGCACCACCTGGGAAGATCTTGGCCTTATAATCAAGTAAATTTAAAATTGTGGAATTTAATAGTTACAGTTTTAACGCTTGGTTGGTTATATTTTACTGTTTGGATTAGTTTTCATGTGCAGCCATTCTTTTAAGGTTTCAGGTTCGTTCACCAACTTTCTTTCAAAAATGCCGGGACCAGCATTGGTATATCACTCAATTGGAAGCTGCACAAACTAGCTATATCCAACAGATAAATAACCTTAAAGAGGTAAGTAAAAAAGCATATTTTAGGTTTTGTGTTTCGTATTGTCTTTTAGGCCTGTTAAATTTGCAATTAGAGTTTGGATATTATTGGTGTTTGTAACTTTGTAGATAAATCCACTTGTTCTTTATTCTCATTACCTTTGAGTCTCATTATGGACTGTCCAGTTCAGTAGCCACTAGCACATGTGGTTGTCTAGACTTAATCTAGTTCCTTCATTGTACTAGCTGGCTTGTATTGGGAATCGCAATGCAGAACATTTCCATCATTGTGTAAGATTGTATTGCACACTGCTGCTCTAGTTTGAGTCAGACTTTTGTGTTTCTCTCAGTGACTTGGGTATTTCTCTTCCTCGACAATTAAATGTTGCCCATCTTGAATTCTCATTGTTGTTAAACTGAGTGCTGGGGAGGATCAGTTAAGGAGCTTTTATTTTACAATGGTAAACTAAATTATGTGAGGAATGTTTCTTTCTGCCAGTGGATGTTTGGATAGGTTGAGAAATTTGAAGTGCTGGGAGTGACCTAATATACGAGGGAGGAAAACATGACTATTTTAAAAAATTTTCATGTCAAGTATACTATCTAAAACTGCCTGTATTTACGATGCGGTTTGCTAATTGTATGTGTAGCATGGGATATAGATGAGAAGAAAGATGAGAATAAATTGGGCAGTTTTTCTTCGTATAGAGTTTTCCATAAGCAGAAGTCAAGTAGGTATGAGATAGATAGTTCAAGAACTATTTTTATGAATATCTGGATATGTGGGGCTGTTTTTTGTTTGTTTGTTTGTTTTTTGTGTGTTTTTGCTTGAAACAACTTTACTAGTTATGGACTGCTTATGACACATGTTTATGGTGTTCTTTTTTAAAAAGAGACTTACTATTGAGTTGTCTCGAACTCAGAAATCAAGAGATTTGTCACCACCAGATAATCATCTTAGCCCCCAAAATGATGACACTGCTGAGACACGAGCTAAGAAGTCTGGATCATGCGCTGACGTGCTTCTCCAGGATGGTCCTCCTGCAGCTTCTGTACGAGACGTGAAGGAGGATGAAGAGGATGAGGAGAAGATTCAGAATGAAGATTATCACGTAATAATGAGACCTGGTTTAGATTCATTTCATGTTTGAAAAGAGAAATAGCATCATAGTTTTCAGCATATGATGTAGGGGGATCAGTGTGCCAAAAATCTTGTCCATTTATGTTTTTGTTACTAATATATGCCCTGTTGTGACTATTAATATGTCAGAATTTGAATCAAAAGTGTTTCAAGTTTCTAAAAATTAATTTATTATAGGAAACTATACAGTCTACACAAGAAACTGTGGTATACATTCTAGAAGCTGTGTAAATTGTAGATTTTTAAAATGTGTCTTATTTCCATTCACTGCATCTAGTTGAAGTACCTTATCATTGCATATGTAGGTAGAATGATTTAGGATTTGGGAAGTAGCCAGGTTTTGTCCCAGCTAAACTACAGCTAGAGTGAGATTTCAAGAAGTGGTTGTTACTGTTTAAGGTATGAGAGAAATGGATAGATAAGCTTTTTTGTTATATTTGTTTAAGTTGGTCACTGAGTGTAGCAGTGCATGTCTGGGACCTTTTGAAGACAATAGCCATTATCTTCATTACCTCCACCATAATTTGGCTACAGGGAAAGAACACAGCTCCACCTGTCAACAGAAAACTGGATTGAAGATTTACTGAGCATGGCCCTGCCCATCAGAACAAGACCCAGTTTCCCTCTCAGTCAGTCTGTGCCATCAGGAAGTTTCCATAAGCCTCTTATCCTTCTCCACCAGAGGGCAGACAGACTGAAATCACAGCAAACTAACCAGTTTGATCACATGGACCACAGCCTTGTCTAACTCAATGAAACTTTGAGCCATGCCATGTAGGGCCACCCAAGATGGACAGGTCATGGTGGAAAGTTCTGACAGAATGTGGTCCACTGGAGAAGGGAATGGCAAACCACTTCAGTATTCTTGCCTTGAGAACCCCATAAACAGGATGAAAAGGCAAAAAGATAGGACACTGAAAGATGAACTCCCCAGGTCGGTAGGTGCCCAATATGCTACTGGAGATCAGTGGAGAGATAGCTCCAGAAAGAATGAAGAGATGGAGCCAAAGCAAAAACAACACCCAGTTGTGGATGTGACTGGTGATGGAAGTAAAGTCCAATGCTGTAAAGAACAATATTGCATAGGAACCTGGAATGTTAGGTCCATGAATCAAGGCAAATTGAAAGTGGTCAAACAGTAGATGGCAAGAGTGAACACTGACACTTTAGAACTCAGCAAACTAAAATGGACTGGGATGGATGAATTTAACTCAGATGACCATTATATCTACTGCTATGGGCAAGAATCCCTTAGAAGAAATGGAGTAGCCCTCATAGTTAACAAAAGAGTCTGAAATGCAGTACTTGGAAACAGTCTTAAAAATGAGAGAATGATCTCTGTTTCCAAGGCAAACCATTCAATATCACAGTAATCGAAGTCTATGCCCCGACCAATAATGCTGAAGAAGCTGAAATTGAACAGTTCTGTGAAGACTTACAAGACCTTCTAAAACTTAACACCAAAAAAAAGATGTCTTTTTCATTATAGGGAACAGGAATGCAAAATTAGAAAGTCAGGAGATACCTGAAGTAACAGGCAAATTTGGCCTTGGAGTATGGAATGAAGCAGGGCAAAGGTTAATAGAGTTTTGCCAAGAGAACACACTGGTCATAGCAAACACCCTCTTCCAACAATACAAGAGAAGACTTTGCACATGGACATCACCAAATGGTCAATACCGAAATCAGATTGATTGTATTTTTTGCAGCCAAAGATGGAGAAGCTCTATACAGGCAGCAAAAACAAGACTGGGAGCTGACTGTGGCTCAGATCATGAACTCCTTCTTGGCAAGTTCAGGCCTAAATTGAAGAAAGTAGTGAAAACCACTAGACCATTCAGGTGTGACCTGAGTGAAACCCCTTCAGTGGAAGTGACAAATAGATTTCAAGGGATTAGATCTGATAGAGTGCCTGAAGAACTGTAGATGGAGGTTTGTGACATTGTACAAGAGGCAGGAATCAAGACCATCCCCAAGAAAAAGAAATGCAAAAAGGTAAAATGGTTGTCTGAGGAGCCCTTACAAATAGCTGAGAAAAGAAGAGAAGTGAAAGGCAAAGGAGAAAAAGAAAGATTTTCTCATTTGAATGCAGAGTTCCAAAGAATAGCAAGGAGAGATAAGAAAGACTTCCTCAGTGATCAATGCAAAGAAATAGTGGAAAAGAATAGAATGGGAATGACTAGAGATCTCTTCAAGAAAATTAAGAAATACCAAGGGAACATTTCATGTATAGATGGGCAACTAAAGGACAGAAATTGTATGGATCTAACAGAAGCAGACGATATTAAGAAGAGGTAGCAAGAATACATAGAAGAACTATACATAAAAGATCTTCACGACCCAGATAATCATGATGGTATGATCATTCACCTAGAGCCAGACATCCTGGAGTGTGAAGTCAAGTGGGCCTTAGGAAGCATCACTGTGAACAAAGCTAGTGGAGGTGATGGAATTCCAGCTGAGCTATTTCACATCCTGAAAGATGATGCTGTGAAAGTGCTGCACTCAATATGCCAGCAAATTTGGAAAACTCAGCAGTGGCCACAGGACTGGAAAACATTAGTTTTCATTGCACTCCCAAAGAAAGGCAATGCCAAAGAATGTTCAAACTACTGCACAGTTATACTCATCTCACACACTTGTAAAGTAATGCTCAAAATTCTCCAAGCCAGGCTTCAACAGTACATGAACCGTGAACTTCCAGATGTTCAAGCTGGATTTAGAAAAGGCAGAGGAACCAGAGATCAAATTGCCAACATCCACTGGATCATCAAAAAAGCAAGAGAGTTCAGAAAAGCATCTACTTCTGCTTTATTGACTATGTCAAAGCCTTTGACTGTGGATCACAACAAACTGTGGAAAATTCCTCAAGAGATGGGAATACCAGAGCATCTGACCTGCCTCTTGAGAAATCCGCGTGCAGGTCAAGAAGCAACAGTTAGAACTGGACATGGAACAACAGACTGGTTCCATATTGGGAAAGGAGTACGTCAAGGCTGTATATTGTCATCCTGCTTATTTAACTTATATGCACAGTACATAATGAGAAACGCTGGGCAGGATGAAGCACAAGCTGTAATCAAGATTGCAGGCTGAAATACCAGTAACTTCAGATGTGCAAATAGCACCACTCTTATGGCAGAAAGTGAAGGAGAACTAAAGACCCTGTTGATGAAAGTGAAAGAGGGGAATGAGAAAGTTAGCTTAAAGCTCAGCATTCAGAAAACAAAGATCATGGCATACAATCTCATCACTTCATGGCAAATGGATGGGGAAGCAGTAGAAACAGTGACAAAGTTTATAGTTTTGGGCTCCAAAATCACTGCAGATGGTGACTGCAGCCATGAAATTAAAAGACGCTTACTCCTTGGGGAAAAAGGTATAACAAGCCTGTGCTGTGTGCGTAGTCGATCAGTCATGTCCGACTCTTAGCGACCCCATGGACTGTAGCCCGACAGACTCCTCCGTCCATGGGATTCTCCAGACAAGAATACTGGAGTGGGTTGCCATTTCCTTCTCCAGCCTAGATAGCAGATTAAAAAGCAGAGACATTACTTTGCCAGCAAAGATCCTTCTAGTCAAAGCTATGGTTTTTCCAGTAGTCTTGTAAGGATGTGAGAGTTGGACTATAAAGAAAGCTGAGAGGAGAACAATTGATGCTTGCACTGTGGTGGTGGAGAAGACTCTTGAGAGTCTATTGGAGTACAAGGATATCTAACCAGTCCATCCTAAAGGAAATCAGTCCTAAATGTTGATTGGAAGGACTGATGCTGAAGCTGAAACTCCAATAGTTTGGCCACCTGATTCAAAGAACTGACTCCTTCAAAAAGACACTGATGCTGGGAAAGATTGAAGGCAGGAGGAGAAGGGGATGACAGAGGATGAGATGGTTGGATGGCATTGCTGACTGTGTGGACATGAGTTTGAGTAAACTCCGGGAGTTGGTAATGGACAGGGAGGCCTGGCGTGCTGCAGTCCATGGGGTCGCAAAGAATTGCACACAACTGAGCAACTGAACTGAACTGAGGATGGGAAGCTTAAGGTGTGTGTTACAATTGATGGAGTCAGTGGGGAGAAAGGTTGAAAATTAAGGTACAAGTATTGACATAACAGACTATTTTAGGAGATGTTATATGTTGGAATGGAGAACTCAGGTGTAGCAGTTAACCTTTGATAGCATGAGTTAAAGGAAGGATGGAGTTTATAGGTAGGACAGCTGAGAGTTGGAGGCATTTATGCTAACTAGCCGTAGCCTGTATGTTTTTCTGTATAGAAAGGTGACAGGGATTTATAATCACATCCCTGGTGGCTTAGAGGGTAAGGCGTCCACCTGCAATGCAGGAGACCCAGGTTCAACCCCTGAGTTGGGAAGATCCCCTGGAGAAGGAAAATGGCAACCCACTCCAGTATTCTTACCTGGAAAATCCCATAGACGGAGTAGCCTGGGAGGCTGCAGTCCATGGAGTCGCAAAGAGTTGGACACGACTGAGCCACTTCACTTCAGACCTTGAGGAGTGATGATTTGAAATGTTATTCTGTGAGGAAGTTGGCATGGACTGTATGAACCATTTCCAGTCATATTGAAAGCCAGCAGAAATAACTTATTGGTGGGCCCAGGTAATGTGGTTGTGTGATTTATCTCTACAGGGCTCAGCAGTGTAGGCCCAGCAGCAGAGAATTCTGAGGAGTACCTTATTTGGGGCTTAGTCCAGGCTGAGTGAAAACATTTGAGATAGAAATCATGTTTCTTTGCCTTAATCTAGCAGGATCTTTCAGATGGAGATCTGGATCTGGATCTTGTTGGTGAAGATGAAGCAAATCACCTCGATGGCAGCAGTTCTTCTGCCAGTTCCACAGCAACGAGTAACACAGAAGAAAATGACATTGACGAAGAAACGATGTGAGTGTCTCACAGAAACTACCACTGTAAACCATCTAAGTGATAATTATTAGAAGCATGGTAGTTAAGTTAGGCCTAAAACTAGGTGGTGGCTCAGACGGGAAAGCGTCTGCCTATAATGCAGTAGACCTGGGTTCGATCCCTGGGTCAGGAAGATCCCCTGGAGAAGGAAACGGCAATTCACTCTAGTATTCTTGCCTGGAAAATCCCATGGAGAGGGGAGCCTGGCAGGCTATAGTCCATGGGGTCGCAAAGAATTGGACACGACTGAGTGACTTCAGTTTTCTTTCTTTCTTTCACTTTCTTTTTCTTTCTAAAACTGGGGATATTAAGCATTTTTTTCCCCTTGATTTATCCTCTTATATAAATGAAGGAAGAAAGAGTGAGTTCCCTCCCTCTCATCTCTGGGATCCAAACAGTTTTCCTTGTAGCTTTAACTTTTAATTTTGTGGTTATTTCATATTTAAGAAATGTTGCAAAAATAGTAGCAGATTAATTCCCCAAATGTTAATGTTTTACTTTGTTATGTTTCTCTCTTTTCTCTCTCCACATAAAATTTTTTGTGAGACACTTGAGATAAAGTAAATATAGTTCTCATTGTATTAACTCCTCAAAATAGACCTTTTGCACTTCAAGTTCCCTCTTTAGAATACTTGGCAAATTGTCTTAATGGGTTAGTTAAAATGTGAAGCCTTTAAGTTACCAAATCAGAAATCATTATTACTGATATTTTTAAACATATGAAATAAAACTTATTAATTTGAGCTAGCGTGAAAAGTTGTTGAAGATGGTGATTCTGTGAAGTGGAATCACCTTGATAAACAGCTTACATATATGGTTCTACCTGAATTAATTCCTTTGACTGTTAGGTCTCGACTTTTTTCAGGGGAGTCTTGAGGGCATCGTATTTTCCATTAAGCTTCATTCACAGCCTTACATTATATTGACTTTTTTAAAAGAAATATTTATTCATTTGCCTCTGCTGTCTGTCTGAGTTATGGCACTCACGATCTTAGATCTTTGTTGTAGCATGCAGGGTCCTTTGTTGTGGCAGGATCTTTAGTTCAGGCATGCTGTGGGATCTAGTTCCCTGATCGGTAATTGAACCCAGGTCCCCACATTGGAAGTGCAGAGTACTAATCACCGGACCACCAGGGAAGTCCCCTAGATTGACTTCTAGAGAGTGTTTGATTATGTTCTCTTTATTTGCATGCATCTACATTAATAGCTTGATTCAAAGTATATTGTATAATTCATAGAAATAGTACAGTTAAGCCAATTTGAACATCTGTACTGTGCTCAGTCACTTCAGTTGTGTCTTTGCGACCCCATGCACTGTAGCCCACCAGGCTCCTCTGTCCATGGCATTCTCCAGGCAGGGGTACTGGAGTGGGTAGCCATGCCGTCCTCCAGGGGATCTTCCTGGACCAGGAGTTGAATTTGCATCTCCTGCACTGCAGGCAGATTCTTTATTGCTAAAGCCACTGGCAAGCCCAGTTTGACCATCTCAGGAACATACATTGTTAGCTTTTACAAATTAAGATCAGTTCCTTCCTTTAATAGGTGGAGAAGTAGGAATATAGTTGATTTGGGTAATGATTATTAGAAATAACTTTCTGTTAGCTACAGCACATTTATCAAACAGGCCTTCTTCTCTCCCTCCACCTCAGTCTTTTTATGATAGCAGTATGTATTTTCTTCCTGCTATTTGTTTTTTTTTCTTCCTTTTTTTTGAGGTAATTGTAAATTCACTTGCAGTTGTGAAAAATAATACAAGATTCCATATGCCCTTTGCCCAGTTTTCCCCAGTAGTAAGTAACAAACCTCACAGCCAGGATATTGATGTGACATAAGCAAGATACAGAACATTTCCATCACCACAAGTGCCCCATATGTTGCTGTTCTATAACATACCTACTTTCCCCACCTAACCTCTTCTTTGCAATCACCCATGTTTTCCTCTTTTCTATAATTTTGTCACTTAAAGGATGTTATGTAAATAGAATCATACGTATGTAACACTTAGGGACCGGCATTTTCCCCACTGTTTCTCTGCAGACTCATCCATGTTATTGTGTGCATAGGTAGTTTGTTTGCTCTGATGTGGATAAGTGGTTTGTGTTGTGGATACACTACAATTTGTTCAGCTGTTCACTTCTTGAAGAACATCTGGATTGTTTTCAGTTTGGGGCTACTATAAATAAAACTACTAGAAACATTCATGTACAGAATTTTGTGTGAACATAAATCTCTGTTTCTGTTGGATAAGTTTAACTGCTGGATTGTATGGTAATTGAAAGTTTAGTTTTTGAAGAAACTGCCAAGTAGTTTTCTAGTTTTTGCATTCCTATGAGCAGTATATGTATGGTCCACTCTCTGAATCCCTTGCAGCATTTAGTATTGCCACTAGTTTTTATTTTAGTCACTGTGATATCCCATTGTGGTATTAATTAATTCCCCATGTTAGCTAATGATGTTGAACATCTTTTCATGTGTTTAATTTCCCATATGCATATCCTCACTGGTAAAATTTCTCTTCGTGTCTTTTACCTGGTTTCTAATTGGAACTTTTTTTTAAATGATACAATATACATTACCACAGGAGAAGGAAATGGCAACCCGCTTTAGTACTTTGCCTGAAAAATCCCAGACTGGCCTGGCAACTACAGTCCATGGGGTCGCATAGAGTTGGACAAGACTGAGCAACTGAGCCTGCATGCTTGCTTGCATACATAATCATGTCTAAGGGCAGTTCAGTGGGATTAAATATTCATGTTGTTGCACAACCATCACCACTGTCTATCCCCAAAGCTGTTTCTTTCATCTTCCCAGACTAAACTCTGTACCCATAAAACGACAATGCCCTCTTTCCTCCTAGCAACTACTGTTGAGTTTTGAGAATTCTTTGTATATTAGATCCTGGAGAAGGAAATGGCAGCACACTCCAGTACTCTTGCCTAGAAAATCCCATGGATAGAGGAGCCTGGTAGGCTACAGTCCATGGGGTTAGAAAGAGTCGACACGACTGAGCAACTTCACTTTCACATGTATATTAGGTACTAGTCCTTTGCTGAATTTGGAACATGCTTTGAAGATAACTTTCATTCTGTAGCTTATCTTTTCATATTAACAGGGTCTTTTGCCAATCAGAAATTTTTGATATTTCAACAGTGTTTTGTAGTTTTCAGAGTATATGTTTTACACATTTTTGAAATCATTCATCACTATCTTACTGTTTTTCATGCTATTGTAAATGTAATTGAATTTTCTTTTTAAGTTTCTTTTGTGGGTTGTTCTTTGATCTTATTCTTTTTCATGCTATTATGAATGCAATTGAATTTTCTTTTAAAATTTTTTTGTGGGTTGTTCTTTGCAAGTATATGAAAATGCAGATTTTTGTATCCTGCAACCTTGTTAACTTGTTTATGAATTCTAATAGTTTTTTAATGGATTCTTTAGATTTTTATATGTGTAATATTATACCTGTAAATAGATATAGTTTTACTTATTCTTTTTCAATTTGGGTGCCTTCTATCTCTTTTTCTTGCCTAAGTTTACTGGATAGAACATCATATAGAATTGGTGGGAGTGGACATTCTTTCTTATCTTGTTCCTGATCTTACAGGGAAAGTTCAGTCTTTCACCAATTAATGTGATGTTAGCTGTGAGTTTTCCATAGATGCCCTTCTGGTTTATTGAGTGTTTTTATTATGAAAGGGTATTGGTTTTTTTGAAGTCTCTTTCTTCATCTCTTCAGATAATCATGTAGTTTTTGTTTTTTATTCTATTAATATGGTGTATTACATGAGTTCATTTTTAGATTCTAAACCAACTTTGCGTTCCTTGGATAATTTCTACTCTGCCATGGTGTGTAACTTCTTATGTTTTGCTGGATTCCTATTTTTCTTTTTTGCTGGATTCCATTTGAGAGTTGTTTTTTTTTAATGTTCTTAATAGTGTTATACCTTTTTATGTGGCTCTGTTTTTATAGCCTGCTTTTTCTCACAGGCAAAATTTCTGAGCCAGAGTTCTGAAGCTAGAGTGAGAACAAAGGTGTCCTTATTTCTCCCATTTTAGAAACTGAGCCAGTGGGAGTGGGCGAGTTGGGGCTGTAGCCTCAGATCTTTTCAGTTGGTCTTCTGAGGCCTGGAACTTCTGCTTTATGAGTAACTTGCAGCAAGGGTGATCTGGGCCCCAGTTTCTTCACATGCTGCCTCAAAGGTAGAGCCTTGGGTCTGGGTGGAAGAAGGGAATCCCTGCCTCTTAGCCACATATACCTGACTTTACTCTAGCCACAGGTAGCTGGGAGCAGGGTGAGAAATGCTGGGGTCTTGTTCCTCTTAGGAATATAGCCCTTCTCCTGGGAGCTGTGGGAAATGGGAGCCTTATGTGCTTGGGTGCATCAGTCAGAAGTGGAATTGCTGTGTCACTGCTCTTGGTTCAAGTACCACACACTCATTGTCGTTACCAAATTTCATTACTGTTTTCATTTGCTATATGCTCTTAGAATCATTTCCAGAGTCTATAAACTGTTGCCTTAAAAAACAGTGTTCACAGTGTCACTGGAGAGCAGATCTGTGGAGCTCCTCATGTTGTCAACCTGGGAACTGATTTTCACACTCCTTTGGGCTTCCTGATGGCTCAGCTGGTGAAAGAATCCACCTGCAATGCAGGAGACCCTGGTTCGATTCCTGGGTTGGAAAGTTCCCCTGGAGAAGGGAAAGGCTACCCTCTCCAGTATTTTGGCCTAGAGAATTTCATGGACTGTATAGTCCTTTAGTTGCAATGAGTCGGATACAACTGAGTGACTTTCATTTTAAATACCCAAAACTAGAGCTGATTTGTGCTATTCCATATAGTACTTTGTCATTAAAAATAAGATAATTGTGTTTTGATAAACAGCACCCTCTTTTCTGAAATGATATCTTAAGAAACTAGTTTTTAGTTATATATAGTAATTTGAACATCCTTCTTAACCTTAAAATGTACAGTTTTAAGCCTAATTTGCTACCATTAAATTACAAATTCTTTGAAGCTATAATCTCTTCTGCTTACATGGTTCTCAAATTTTCTATTTTGAAAATTAAATATTGCCAACCTATTTTGGTACTTTAAAATAGTAGATTGAACATTAATAATACTGCCCATACATGTGATAATGACAAAAGTCTTTCAGTTTTCTGTTTAGAAATATACTGTTACTTCATAGGAGAAAGCTATACACTATTATTGTAAAATTCACTGAGATATGACAGATAATGTTAATTTTACTTACTATGTGGAAAAATGAATTCTGTATATTGTTAGGTCTGGAGAGAATGATGTGGAATACAACAACATGGAGTTGGAAGAGGGAGAACTCATGGAAGATGCAGCTGCAGCAGGACCTCCAGGTACTGGAGCCAAACCCCACAAGCCATCCTGTCTTCTCTTTCCTCTTCTTTGAATGTATCGTATTTTAATATGTGGCAGCCATTGCACTACATTGTTCATGGTGTTAGAAGGACTGTATTTTATGTATGGATTTTAGAGTATTACTAACAGTGTTTAGAATAGTGATAGCTAAAATTTGATACATTCTCACATAGCAGGCATTGTGCAAAAGCCCTTAATGTGTACCTTATCTTATTTACCTATAAAATTCTTGGAGGTAGATTTTAATATTATCTTCTTTTTGTAGCTGTAGAAACTGATGTGTAAAGGAATTAAGCAACTTGCTGTCATTTTACAATTAAGTAAATGAAAGAGGAATTAGAGTTTTCTGTTTATTTGAACCCTAAGCTCATGATCTTATCTACTATTACAGACTTACTTTTTATGATACGTAAGTCTTGTTTGTATACCTACCTCAACTATAGATTAATTTGAATAGAATCATTGAATCTTTGAGTTACAGAAGACATTTTGAGAACTCAATTTACATGTGGAAAAAGCTCAGAGATTTAGTTGGTATAGCTAGACTAGAACCTCATGTCGTCTTCTTGAACCTAGCTTTTTACCAAAGTACACGGCTCCTCCTGGGATAACCAGTTTTAAATAGTAAGTGTTTCTTTTGTTTTCTGGACCTGTTCAATTAAGCATGGGGATTTTGGCTAGAACAATTATCAACTAGTTTTTTGCTACTTCTGTTTTACCTGCTTCGCCCTTGGTATGAACATTGGCATATTCTGTAGCATGCTTGAATATCTAAATACCTCTTTAATACTTAATACTTCCACTTCTGCATCGTACTCCTGTCTTTCACTTTATTTCTAGGTGATCTCAGTCACACCTGTATGTCAGTTTTGTGTGTATGCTGATTACTCCCCAAGCTCCATCTCTAGCCTTTATTTTTCTCGTGACTTCCAGACCGATGTAGCCGTTTGGTTTTGATGTCTCAGTCTTAGATCTCCTGAATAGAAATCATTACCTTTTCATTTGCAGGCTTACCCATCAGTGATGGCCACCATCTTGATAATTAGTAGTGCTATATATTCTTCACCTTTTTCTCTCCTTCGACTCTCCCTTTAACATGTCACCAAAATCTGCTGATTCTTCCTCCTAGATAGTGAGTGAATACATTTGTTACTTCACATTCCATTGCCATTTCTGGTGTAGGCCTGTGTCTTTCAACCTGAATGAGTGGCTATTTGGGTTCTTTGTATCCATTATTGCTCCCATCCATTCTGCTTCCCATGGCATGAGTTCCAAATGAGGTGACTTTTTATTCCCTTCAAAAGAATATCTGATTGTATCCCTTCTCTCCTTCAAAACCCTTTATTTCATTCCATTTACTGATAGGATGAAATCCAAACTCATTAATATGGTATACAATGGCCTTCATGTGCTGATTCCTGCTCATTTTTTCCCCAGCTTTAAAAGGTATAATTGACAAAAATTGTATATGTTTAAGGTGTACAGCATGATGGTTTCATATAAATACACATTGTGATCAGCATGATCAAGCCAGTTAGCATTCATTGCCTCACATAGTTACCTTTTTTTTTTTCTTCTTTCCTCTTCTCTACGCCACTCCCCTCTGATAACAGCTTGTTTGTTTTCTGTGTATGACTGTTTCTGGGTTTGTTATGTTTGTCCATTTGTTTTGTTTCTTAGATTTTACATATAAATGAAGTCATATTTATTTTTCTTGAAGTCATATTTCTTTATCTTTCTCTGTCTTAGTTATTTCATTTAGCATAATACCCTCCAGGTCCATCATGTTACAAGATCAGGTAATGGAAAGTCTTTATTTGCCTGGCTAAGGAGCTTGGCCTTTTATTCTGTGGAACCACTAAAGGTCTTTAAGAGTGAATGTGATCAGATTTGTCTATATAGTGAAAAATGGGTTAAAGGTGGATGAGATAAAATTGGATACTACTGTGAAAATTCTGTGGAAGTCCAGTGGTTAGAACTGCATGCTTTCACTGATGAGAGCATGGGTTTGACCCCTGGTTGGTAAACTAAGATCCCACAAGCTGCATGGTGTAGCCAAAAAAATAAAAGGAAACTACCTCAATATTCCAGGAAGGAAAGTTTGAGGGCCCAAAATAAGGTAAGATAAGAATAGTAGAGGCAGAGAAGAAGAAACCTTTTGAGAGATGTTAAGTAAGACTCTGTATGACTTGGGAGTGTCTTACTGGATGGGTTGGAGTTGGTGGCAGTGTGGGGGTGGTTCCTTAAGGTTCCTAGTTTGGGCCTCATTCCATAAGCTAGTGAGTCTCAGAGCAGAGGATAATATATTCAGTGTGATCCATGCTGATATTGATGGGCCAGTGGGACTCCCACGTTATGATCTCCAGACCCATGTAACTGGCTGCTTGGAAGACCACAGGTGTGAGTCTGTGTAGTAATATGCATTGGTTTTTTTTAAAATAAGCATCATCAGGGCTTCCCTGGTGGCTCAGTGGTAAAGAATCCCCGGCCAATGCAGGAGACGTGGGTTCAGTTCCTGGTCTTTGGCAAATTACTAAGCCCATGCTCCACAACTGTGGAACCTGTGCTCTAGAGCCCAGGAGCTGCAGCTGCTGCGCGCATGTGCAACGACTGAAGCCTGTGTGCCCTCGAGCCCATGCTCTGCAGGAGAAGCCGCCACAGTCAGAAGCCTGTGCACTGCAGAGTAGAGAGTAACTCCTCGCCACAGCTGGAAAAAAGCCCTCACAGCAGCGAAGACCCAGTACAGCCCCCAAATAAAAGATTATTTTTAAAAGATTTTTAAAAATAGGAGTCATAGTTTTTATTCATTGAAATTAATGAACTAATTAAAATATCATTTACAAGATTCACCCATAACATGTAAAGAATTTCTACAAATCAAGAAAAAGATGACAGTCTCTTTAGTTTAAAAAAAAAAAAAAAGCAAAAGACAAGAATAGACACTTCACAAAGGAGTCTATCTAGATGACCAGTACACATTTTTAAAGATTTTTTTTTTCCCCACTGTTTTTGTCAGATAAATGCAAGTTGTGGTGCTATTGAGTTTGTTTATCCTTCATGAAGTTTCTTGAGTTTTTTGGATGTTTACATGAATAGTTTTCATTATATGTAGGGAATTTTTACCCATTTTTCTTTGAATAATATTCTTTCTCCTCCTCTCTAACTCCCATTATGTGTATGTTGGTACACTTGGTGGGATTTCACAGGTCTCTGAGACTCTGTTCATTTTTCTTCATTCTTTTTCAGGAAATGCCAGATAAAATCCACATTATGATACCATTGAATGTCCACTGTAATGGCTAATACTTTTTAAACTGGCAGTACTAAATGTTGAAAGCATGTGGAGAGATGGAAACTCTCATAGCTTGCTGGTAGGAATGAAAATTGATAACTCTACTTTAGAAAACTGTTGGGCAGTATAGGTAAAGCTAAATATACACATCCTATGACTTTTCTACTTTCAACAGAACAGGAGCTGGTATTTGCCAGTTGAGTTTTACAAGATAATTTAAAGCAGTATTGTTCTTTTTTAGGTGGTTTTGTTTTCTTGTGTTTTTAATTTTTAAAAAGTAAATGTACTTTTTAGCCAAGTAAAGAATGTGAAAAACTAGAGAAGACTGGAAAGGTAGTTTGAGTCTAGACTGTGTAGGACCTCAAATGTTTTGCTAATACATACAAGCACTGTAGTAAAATCAAGAGCTCAGATAGATTAGTGTGACATTTTAGCAGGCTTAATCTGGCTTGGCTTAGGAAGAGAGCATCCATTTGCTTTTTTATGAGTTTTTTTTTTTCCCTCGTGAAGTTCAGGAGCAGTTTTCTGCTTATAAGTTCAGTAGCTTTATTTCTCGGAGAAGGCAATGGCACCCCACTCCAGTACTCTTGCCTGGAAAATCCCACGGGTGGAGGAGCCTGGTAGGCTGCGGTCCATAGGGTCGCTAAGAGTCGGACACAACTGAGTGACTTCACTTTCACTTTTCGCTTGCATGCATTGGAGAAGGAAATGGCAACCCACTCCAGTGTTCTTGCCTGGAGAATCCCAGGGACGGGGGAGCCTGGTGGGCTGACATCTATGGGATCACACAGAGTTGGACACGACTGAAGTGACTTAGCAGCAGCTTTATTTCTAGTAGCAAAAAGCAACCCAAATTCTTTCCTAATAGAAATAAAGTAGTTTTATATATTCATATTTTATAGCGCTGCACAGAAATAATGAAAATGAATAAGCTGCTATATATAGCAATATAGATGAATCTCATGAATATAATATTGAGCAAAAAAGCAGAATGTAAGAATATAGCTGTATCATTGCATTTAAAAAAGGTTCAAAAACAGGCAAACTAATATATGGTGTTTTACTCCGGATGGAAGTTACCTGTGGGGAGGAGGGTAAGTGAGCAATTTTAGGAGGCATGGAGGAATCTTGGGCTGCTATTAATTTGTGATCATTCACTAGGCTTTGTGGACTTCCCTGGTGGCTCAGCAGTAAAGACTCTTCCCTGTGGTGCTGTAAATGCAGGTTTAGTCCCTGGGTTAGGAAAATCCCCTGGACAGAGGAGCCTGGTGGACCCCTGGTTCATGGGGTTGCAAACAGTCAGACACGACTGAACCAACTGAGCATGCGCTCATACAACTAGGCTGTGTGAGACAGACATGCACACACTCGCCCAGGTTAATGGCAGTGCTGACTCTCAGAGAGGAAACTGAGATAGATGCTAAACTCTCTGGTGCCTTTGGATGAAATGTGATACTGCTGTGTGTGGAAGGATGGGGACCTGGGAGGGGTGGAATAACCAAAGGACTTGAACCACAACAGAAAGGAGTTTGCTCATTGGTGAGAGTAGTGAGTGACCTGGAAGAGTGGTTAGAAACAGAAGTCTGTTAACACCCGTTTCTGTACTTGGAGGTCCATTTAACATGAGAGATAAATAGCTTTTATTTTTGAAGAACCAGATAGTTGGGCAATCGATAGCATAATCTGGACTAATGAACCTATTTACTGTATGATAGAACCACCTGAGTAGCTTTTTGAAAAAGTCCTAGATCCCAGTCCAGTATTCTCATTCAGGACATCTAGAGTAGGGCCAGGAATCTGTCATTTTAAAAACTCCTCCAACTGACTTATATGCAGCCTGATTTGGGAACTTCCTAGTAAAGGAAAAGAGCTAAGGAGCAGTTTGAAGGGGGAGAGGGAATAGTTTTCTGTCTTTTAAAATAGGAATTTCAAAAAAAAAAATAGGAGTTGCAGTGATGTGTACAGAGGCTAAAAGAGAAATTGGCAACGAGATAATCCTTAGAAGAGGAAGGACAAACAAGTAGAAGGTAAGGACATGAGGGTGTGAATATAGATGAAAAACATGTAAGTAAATAACTGGCCTGAAGCTTCTGAATAATAAACTTTTCTCCTAAGTACCCCCTATCCATCTCTGTCTCTTTAGAAACACCCTCATGAATAGTCAGGACCTGATTACTTCATGTTATTTTTATATTATCTACTTTAAGACTTTGCATTTTTTAATGTTGTGGATTTTTTTAAGAATATATTTAAATAACTTTATTTAAGGAGGTCAGTTTTAACCAACATTTCCATACCTAATACTTGCTAGGCATTGTACTAGGCACTGGAGAAAAGTCAGATGGTTTCCTTGGGTTAAGGAGCTTTTTACTTCAATATAGGTAATAAAGAATGACCATGTTCTCAGATGTCATATTATGTATCAGTCATTAACAGGTTAAGTCTAAAATATTCAAATTGTACTTCAGTATTTAATCAAACTAGAAAAAACGTCTTGCCAGACAGTCATGACCTGAGTATTTTACTTGCAGAAGATTCCATTTTGATGTCTAGATCCTTGGGATCTGTTATACCAGGGGGCTTGACTTTCATCCAAGACCACTGGGTTATAAGATACATTCTCCTTTTCCTTAACCCTCATCCCCCAATTGTATGTATTGTACATGCTCTAACCTTTTTATTTCTGGGGTTTAGGATGGGGCTTCCCAGGTGGCGATAGTGGTAAAGAATCCACCTGCCAATGCAGGAGATGCAAGAGACATGGGTTTGATCCCTGGGTCAGGAAGATTACCCTGAAGGAGGAAATAGCAACCTACTCCAGTATCCAGTATTCTTGCCTGAAAAATTCAATGGACAGAGGCTCCTGGCAAGCTGTAGTCCATGGAGTCATGAAGAGTCTGACATGACTGAGCATGCATGCAGTATGGGGTTGTGGATAACTCCTGAATTTTGAATAGTAATGCGGCCAGTGGTCATTCACTGTTCTTTGTACACTTCTCTGGCGATATGGTTTCTTTGTGCTTCTCATCATGAACACCAGCTCCTAAGAGATAGGTCCATAGACAAGTATTCAAACGACATTAACCAGTTTATTTTTTTCTTTTACGTATACTTGAATTTGTCCAATTACATATAGCTTTCATTTTCCGTATCTCTTTTGCAGGTGGTAACCATGGCTATGTGGGTGCCAGTAGCAGAATGTCAAGAAGAGCACACTTGTGCTCTGCTGCTACCAGTAGTTTATTAGACATCGATCCTTTAATTTTAATACATCTCTTGGACCTTAAGGACCGGAGCAGTATGGAAAATTTGTGGGGCTTACAGCCTCGGCCCCCTGCTTCACTTCAGCCCACAGGTAAAATATGAACAGTAATTTTCCTTTTTTCTGTGCTTCTCCAAAAGACCTCTTAAATTTGAATTCGGGTATCTTAAGTGTTGGAACATGGTATGTTTCTGTCACAAATCGATTTTTCATTGTATTTTATAAAAACATATCAATTAAATCAGTTTTTTGTTATTGTTCAAAGGTATTTTGTACAAAAATAATGTCAAAGTACCTGTAAGAAGGTTTTTGTATGATTTGCCATTTAGATTGTTACTACTGGGCAGTTTGATACATGTGAATTAAAATTGTGGTTTGTGAATGGACTTAAAGTTTCGCAGGCCTCATGAGTAGTACCCTGACTAAGTGGGACTGTGTGTTAATTAAAAATAGAAGGTTTTTTCATGCTTTGATATTCAGTAGCCTAAAAATGTATACCAGTTAGCAGCAATATTAAAAAGAAATTATTTGTTAAAGAGAAATTACATTTGTGTTACTGTAATATGATGTATACACTTACGCGAATTTAGATGTATAGTCAAATGTGGACTTTTTAAACTTTAGACACAGGCTTTTCTCTTTTTTAAACTTAATTTGATTTTTCAAAATGTAGTTGTGTTGGATCTTTGTTGCTGTGCACAGGCTTTCTCTAGTTACGGGCATCAGGGGCTACTTTCTAGTTGCAGAGTGGAGGCTACTCTCTCGTTGTGGTGCACAGGTTGTAGGCACACAGGCTTCAGTAGTTGCAGCAAGCAGGCTCAGTAGTGTGGCGCACGGCCTCAGTTGCTTCACAGCATGTGGAATCCTCCCGAACCAGGAGTTAAACCCAGGTCCTCTGCATTGGCAGGCAGATTCCTATCCACTGTGCCACCAGGGAAGTGCTACGCATTGACTTTTAAATGGCATATTTTAGAAACCATTTTTGTTGGAAAACTTTCTAAAATAAACTGAACATTTTTCCTACCTTCCTAAAAAAAAGTAGTACTTTACAAATCAAATCTGTGATTTAGAACAGTGATTTTGGTGCTTCTTTGTAGCAGCAGAACTCACTTTTCAGGTAGAGTTTAAGGCAGATCCTCAGTGTAGAAAAAGAAATAGAGCTGCTCTAGTGGAGGATAGATCAGAACTTGGAGTATTTAGTTCTCTTTGTTCCTAAAGTATACTTCCTGAAAGCCTGGGTCCTCAGTTTGACAGACTGTCTCCAATTAGGTAAAGAAACAGTTGCCTTTTTCTGTCATTCAAGTACATTTTGTATTATGTGCCTACAAAATAGCACTTATCACATTGCATATAATTTTTTTCTGAGGCATTCTTATTGTAGAAAGTTAAAGTGTAGAAAATTAGAAAGAGAAAATTAAAATTACACATAGTTCTTGTGATCACCAAACAAATACCCTTAAAAAAAAACTTTTAGCAAAGATTTTGCTTACATTATAACCATTGTTGTTTGCAAAGACTTAGTGAAACAAACAATTTCTGGTTCTCCAGGTGGATGTATACATTGTTTTAACCTTTTTAAAGGAAAATTTTGTAGTCAGTGTAAAATACCTCTATCCTTTAATCCTGTAACTTCATTTTTAGGAGTATATTCCAAAGAGAAAAAATCAGAGTTCTTTGAAAATATCCAACAATACAACTATGGTTGAAAAATTACAGTTGTCCAAGGAATAGCATATTTTATAGACAAGTAAAATCCTGTTTTTGAAAAATTCAGTGTCAGAGAAAAGAATGCACACTACATAAACAGAATAATATCTCTGTTCTCTGAAAGTTTTCTATTAAAATTGATAATATAAATGAAATGAATTGAGTTTTAGATCAAAATGATTAAAAAGTCGATGACAAGGAGGATGCGGTATGAAATAGAGAGGAAGAACAAGCTTGGATTTAAGCATATTGAGTTTGAAGTACCAGTGGGATATCACAGTAGAGATGCTCAGTAGACAGCTAAAAATTAAGAACTGAAATACAGGCAGTTATTTGCCGAGAGGTGACGCTAAGTAATTAAAGAGAGTAAGATTGCAGAAGAATGAGTTTCACGAAACCCTTTAAAAGGGCTCGGAACATAATTACGGTGACCACCTGTTGTTGTTGCATGTGTGGGAGATGGGCCAGACGAAGGGCCTTTGGAGAGAAGAGCGTCATGGAGGCCAAGTGGAAAACAGCCTTTCTGTGAGAGGGCGTTTAAGGCTGACATGCAGAGGGGTCCAGGCTTCTCTTTATTGGAATGCTTGCTTGAGTTTTAGTGTTCGCTTTGTGCTCTTTGTGTATTCTTTCCTTCTCGATCTGTATGCTTTCCTTTCCTTTTCTTGTCTTACTGTATTAGCGAGAACTTCCTGCAGAGATTGGAAAGGAGTGGTGAAAAGATGTCCCTGATCTTGATGGGAAAGCTTTTAAGTTTCTCGCCAGAAAGTATAATACTAGCTGTAAATTTTCCATAGATATTCTTTTATCAAGTTGAGAAAGTTCCCCTCTATTCTGAGGTTTTATTGTGAATGGTTGCTGGATTTTGTGAAATGCCTTTTTTTTTGCATCTATTTATATGATGTAAATAGATTATATTAAATGATTTTCAAGTATTGAACAAGCCTTGCATACCTAGGATAAATCCCATTTGCTTGTCATGTATGGTGTTTTAAATATATTGTTTAGTTCAGTCTGCTAATATTTTGTTGAGGGTTTTTGATATCTGTGTTCGTCAGAGATACTGGTCTGTAGTTTTCTTGTAATGTCTGTCTGACTTTGATATTAGAGTAATGCTGGCCTCATAGATTCAGTAAGGAAGTATTCCCTCTGCTTCTTGTGGGGACTGTAGAGAATTTTATAATTTCATCTTTAAATATTTGGTAGAATTCACCAGTGGATCCATTCAGGTCAGATGCTTTCTGTTTTGGAAAGGTATCGTTACTGACTGAATTTCTTTAGTATATACAGGCCTATTCATATAGTCTGTTTTTCCTTCTGTGAGTTTTGACAGATTGCCTTTCATGGAGTTGGTCTGTTACATCTAGGTTGTCAAATTTGTTGGCATAGAGTTGTTTATAGTGAACACCTGTCACGTATCATGCTCACTCCAGGTTTTTGTTCTTAACCACTGTTTCATAAAAGGGACATCATAAGGGGCATCAGGGTATGAACAACAGATAGTGTGGCTGAACCAGATTTCGAGGTACACGCAGTGGTAAATAGAAAGGCAAGTTGAATCTGTTCTGTGAAAGGCTTGCCTGAGGAATTTATTCATAGTGAACAGTGGATAACCGTTGTTTCAGTTTAGGAATAGTTTGATTCAAACTATGTTTTAGAAAGCTTGCAGTGTTAAGAAAACTATCAGAAAGAAAAATTTAATTGGGATACAGTTGTAGATGTTTATTTGTCATTCCCAGTATGAGAAGACAAATTCATACATTTCTGTGTATTTTCTCAGTCATTATAATATGTGGAGCTGGGATAAGGTCCTCAGGATCTTTTGACATTATAAAAATTATTTTAAACATCTAGGGAACAGATTAACCTGGGCAATGGAGAAGTAGTTTACTTAGAGCAAAGAGTTATGCTTGTGGAGGTAGAGTTTATGGGGCTTGGCAACTAATTGTAATGTGGTAAAGAGGACTTCCCAGATGGCTCAGTGGTAAAGAATCCACCCACCAATACAGGAGATGCGAGTTCGATCCCTGAATCCAGAAGACCCCTGGAGGAGGAAATGGTAACCCACTCTGGCATTCTTGCCTAGGAAATCCCTTGGACAGAGAGCCTGGCGCTCTACAGTCCATGGGGTCGCAAAAGACACAATTTAGTAACTAAGCAACAACAACAAAAGAGTGCTCCTAAGTAGCTTAGCTTACCAGAAGGGTGGGGGCAGTATCATACTGAAGTCCGTGGGAGGAGCTGTAGATAACTGTCCTTCTTGGAAGAGGTGAGTGAGCGTTACAGATGAAACTCTCAATGCTGTTAACCTTATAACTTGACAAATTCAGGAAGGCTTCTCATCCTCAGTGCAGTGAGTATCCTTGTCAGGGTCTCGTGGTATAAGATTCCATAGCGTTTTTACACTCTCCTGTCTGGCACTTACCACGCAGTACTGGAAAGGATTTTCATTTTTTCACAGTGGGACTGTGAGCTCTGTGAGAACAAAGGCTGGGTGTTTGTCCTGTTCACTTTTGTATTTCCTGCCTAGCCCAGTGCTTAGCATTTGAAACAAACTCAGTAATTGTTTATTGACTGATTATCAGGTAATGGAGGTTTGTTTAAATCTATTTTGTATTTTCCCATTTAGGCTTCTTACTTTTTTGTCAGTTTCTGGTAATAATAAGCTAATCATGTGGGTTAATACAGGGTTTCCTATTTAAGTCCAGGTAGATGTAGGGTGGGAGATGACAGCCACAAAGGTTTTATTTAGCAAAACATTTTGAGTATTTTGTGCCATAGGCTGCATGTCCTAGAATGCACAGATCACTAAGATGTAATCTCAGCCTCTTAAGTTGTTCACATTCTACTTGTCTGTCTTCCTTACTGTAATATAATGTGCTCTACAAAATTAGGTAAGAATTGATTTGAAAGGAGGGGAGCATTTGGTGGGTTTAGGTGCTTGAAGAAGGAGACATTTCTGATCTGACCTGGTAAGTTTGAGTTAGAGAGCAGAGGGAAGAGGACATGTGAAAAGCGTGAGGACAGGGCATGGCTGCAGGTCAGAGCTGCAGGACTGGGGTGCACTGAGCTACCTCGAGGCAGAGGGTAAAGCCATGGAAAGTGGAGGTGGGGTCAGATAATGTCGGGCCTCTGTGCTCTACTAATATTTCCTCGGTGATTCTAAGCAGGAATGTAACATCTGATTTGGGTTTTATTTTTTATTTTTTTATTTTTTATTTTGATTTGGGTTTTAAAAACTGCCATGATACTTTGGTGGACAGTGGGTTGAGTGGGAGCCATGCTGCGCAGTGCTTTCATAGACTGGATCTCCTGAGCCTCAGGACAGCCCTGTCACAATATATATTATTATCTTCATTTTCTAAATGAATAAATGGAGTCAGAAGTTGGAAGATTTAAAGAACGTTACAGAAACTAAATGGTTGATCTGAGACCAAATCCTGGGTTTCCAAAATCTCTCCTATTAGTCCACTGTGAATGCTTTCAGCTGCAAGTAGCGAAATCATGCTAATCGTGGCTTAACTAGTAGTAATAAAGGCACTTTGTTATACATATTACATCTGGAGGTTAGTGATTCCATGTGCATCAGGTATTTAAAGGCAGGACAAGGGATGGTCTCCCTGCAGTTCTCTTCTTCTGGCATGGCGTTAAGATGACTGCCACAGTTTCAGGCATCATTTATTCACAGGAATGTCACTAGCAGGAAAGAAAAGATGGGATGTAAAAGACCTATTCTTGTGATGCTGGAGAGCAAAGTTATTAAGATCACAAAGTTATTAAGACTGGAGGCAGACTCCTTGGTTTGAATTAAGCTCCTCTACTTTTAGCTGTATCCCCAACATAATAAAATCTCCCAGTCAGAATGGAGGCTCTCTCTCCCCTCCCCCAACTTTGGCTGAAATTCTTAGTCATGTGCCCACTCTAAATGCTCCAAGAGGAATAAGCTTAGACTAGTTGTAGGCTCATACCCTCTGGGGCCAAGCAAAGGACAGCTTTCACTGCCCTGAGCAGTGCTGGCCTGCCTAACACCTAAACACAGTCTGGGTTCTGCAGGCATGGTAGAACTGGGGGAATGGCTGCGGTGTCTGCCTTTTCCCCCTCTATGGCAGTAGATTGTTGCAGTGTGTGAACAGGGTATGAGTTAGACTGTATATTTTATATACTATGAATAACATATTTGACCAAGTTTTTGGCTTCTAGGTTTTTTGTGTGTGTGTGAACATACTAAAAGCTCAGTATAGAAAATTTGAGAAAAGTGAATAAATATAAAAAAGAAAGCACAGGCAGTGTGGCAGCTTTTAAAATTTTTTTTTTTTTTTTTTTTTTAGCTTTTAAAATTTTTAGAGTTAAATGTATAATTCAGATTTGAGTAATTAAAATGTGAAGAAATAGAGAAAACAATAGAATGGGAAAGACTACAGATCTCTTCAAGAAAATTAGAGATCACAAGGGAAAATGGTATGTAAAGATGGGCACAGATGAAGAACAGAAATGGCAAGGACCTAACAGAAGCAGAAGAGATTAAGAGAAGGTGGCAAGAATACACAGAAGAACTATACAAAAAAGTCCTTAATGACCCAGGTAACCACGATGATGTGGTCATTGACCTAGTTTCAGACATCCTGGAACATGAAGTCAAGTGGGCCTTAGGAAGCGTTACTACAAACAAAGCTAGTGGAGGTGATGGAATTCCAGCTGAGCTATTTCAGATTCTAAAAGATGATGCTGACAAAGTGCTGCCCTCAATATGCCAGCAAATTTGGAAAACTCGGCAGAGGTCACAGGACTGCAAAAGGTCAGTTTTCATTCCAATCCCAAAGAAAGGCAATGTCAAAGAATGTTCAAACTACCATACAGTTGCGCTCATTTCACATGCTAGCAAGGTAATGCTCAAAATTCTTCAAGGTAGTCTTCAACAATACATGAACCAAGAAGTTCCAGATGTGCAGGCTGGAACCAGAGATCAAAGGCAGGGGAACCAGAGATCAAACTGCCAACAACTTGATCATAGAAAAAGCAAGAGAATTCCATAAAAACATCTACTTCTGCTTCATTGAGCAGGCTAAAACCTTTCACTGTGTGGATCACAACAAACTGTGGAAAATTCTTCAAGAGATAGGTATACCAGGTTATCTTACCCGCCTTCTGAGAAACCTGTATGCAGGTCAAGAAGCAACAGTGAGAACGGGACATGGAACAACAGACTGGTTCCAAATTGGGAAAGAGTGTCAAGGCTGTATATTGTCACCCTGCTTATTTAACTTATGTGCAGAGTATCTCATGCACATTGCCAGACTGGATGACTCACACGCTGGACTCAATATTGCTGGGAGAAATATCAGTAACTATGGATATGCAGATGATACCACACTAATGGCAGAAAGTGAAGAGGAACTAAAGAGCCTCTTGATGAGGATGATAGAAGAGAGTGAAAAAGCTGGCTTAAAACTAAAGATTAAAAAAACTAAGATCATGGCATCTGATTCCATCACTTCATGGCAAATAGATGGGCAAAAAGTGGTAACAGATTTTATTTTCTTGGGCTTCAAAATCAGTACAAACAGTGACTGCAGCCATGAAATTAAAAGACGCTCCTTGGAAATAAAGCTTTGCCAAATCTAGACAGTGTATTTAGAAAGCAAAGACATCACTTTGCCAACAAAGGTATGTGTAGTCAAAGCTATGGTTTTTCTAGTAGTCATATACGGATGTGAGAGTGGGACCATCAAGAAGGCTGAGCACTGAAGAATTGATGCTTTTGAACTGTGGTGTGGGAGAAGACTCCTGAGAGTCCCTTGGACTACGAGGAGATCCAACCAGTCAATCCTACAGGAAATCAACCCTTAAATATTCATTGGAAGGACTGATGCTGAAGCTGAAGATCCAATACTTTGGCACCTAATTGGAAGACTCATTGGAAAAGATCCTGATACTGGGAAAGATTGAAGGTGGGAGGAGAAGGGGACAGCAGAGGATGAGATGGTTGGCTGGCATCACCGACTCAATGGACATGAGTTTGAGTAAACTCTGGGAGTTGGTGATGGCCAGGGAGGCCTGGCGTATTGCAGTCCATGGGGTCACAAAGAGCTGAACAAGACTGAATGACTGAACAACAAATAAATGTGACCCAGATTTTAACTTTGTAGGTGTGACTAGAGTTAGGATACTTGTATCTGTTTTCATTAATTGAATTTAATGCATGCTTTTATTGTTGGTACCACCTAAAGAGCTTTAGGTTACTTGCACCTCAAATTTGCCTATATTCACAGTACATGAATGTTGAGGTCTATGTTAACATGACTTGTTACTTTCTCTCTGCAGCATCGTATTCTCGAAAAGATAAAGACCAACGGAAGCAGCAGGCAATGTGGCGAGTTCCCTCTGATTTAAAGATGCTAAAAAGACTCAAAACTCAAATGGCTGAAGTTCGATGTATGAAAACTGATGTAAAGAACACACTTTCAGAAATAAAAAGCAACAATGCTGCTTCTGGAGACATGCCTACAAGCCTCCTTTCTGCTGACCAGGCAGCTCTGGCCGCATGTGGGACTGAAAACTCCAGCAGATTACAGGAATTGGGAATGGAGCTCTTGGCAAAGTCATCAGTTGCCAGTTGTTACATACGAAACTGTAAGTGAAAAAGATCCTCTTAGTTTTATTTCTCCATGTGTCTTTTGGGAAGCTCGGGGAGAGTATATTTTCAGAATCAGTTCAGTTCAGTCGCTTAGTCGTGTCCGACTCTTTGCGACCCCATGAATCGCAGCACGCCACGCCACCCTGTCCATCACCAACTCCCGGAGTTTACTCAAACCCATGTCCATCGAGTTGGTGATGCCATCCAACCATCTCATCCTCTGTTGTCCCCTTCTCCTCCTGCCCCCAATCCCTTCCGGCAACAGGGTCTTTTCCAATGAGTGAACTCTTCGCATGCGGTGGCCAAAGTACAGAATAATAATATTTAAATATCTCCCTCAGTGTTAATTAGGACTACAAATACATACAGCTTTTTCTCCCATCCAAAACTGACTTTGTGTATTTTCTGCTATATAACAGAGTTAACATTTCTTGATTGCTTATTCTGTACTGGGCAACAAATAGGACCGAATCTTTACTCTCATGAATCCTGCATTCATTACTCGTGTGATAGGAATTGGACATTAAAATGTGTAGACAGGTAAAGATTGTTTCACTAGATAAAAAGTCCTTTGAAGCCCACAGCAGAGGACTGGGTGGGCAGAGTGAGGAGTGAGCTGTCCAGTCAGGGCCATCAGCAAGTCCCTCAGAGGCGAGCGTCGAGCTGACATCTGAAGGGGGAGGAGTGGGAGCCTGGCGGAGGTCTGCGGGAAGCGCTCCCCACGGTAAACAGACGGAACATGCAAAGCCACGTATACAGGATTCACTCTGCATGTCTGAAGGCTGAACGTGGTGAACTGAGGAGAAGCGAGAGCAGCAGGAGGTACGTCAGAGAGAGAGGATCTAGATCAGGCACAGGCTCAGTCGCTCAGTTGAGTCTTGACACTTTTGCGACCCCGTGGACTGTAGCCCGCCAGGCTCCTCTGTGGGACTTCCCAGGCAAGAATACTGGAATGGGTTGCCGTTTCCTTCTCTGTTAGTTCACATAGGGTCTTATAAGACCTCAGTAAGCAGTTTGAGTTTTATTCTGATTTTGGCGGGACGTCTCTAGACAATAAAAATCAGAGGGGAGTTTATGATCTGATATACTTGTAAAACAAAGATTGCTTTGTTGTGTGGACAAGGGTCTGAAAAGGATGAGAGTGGAGGTTGTGAGGCCAGCTCACAGCCTATAACAATAGCTTGTATGAGACACTGTGACATTCCGGAGTTTCTGCACTGGACTTACTCAGAGTCTAGCGGCCTTTCTTTACTGAGGTTCCAGTCTCCCAAGGATGACATATAACTAGTACCACTCTGGATACACAGGAGAGAAGTTCCTCTGTTACATACAGTGGAGATTTTAAACCATGAGGGCTCAGTTCTTTGCCACAAACCTGGTGGCAAAAGAAAAAGAAAAAAAGAAAAGAGAAAAACTAAGAATGATGTTTAACTGTTTGGTCTAAGCAACTTAGTGACTGCTGGTATCATTAATTGAGATGCAAGTTAAATAGGAAGAAGTGGGTGTGGGGATGGTGGGACATAGGGGCATCATGTCAGGAATTTTTTTAAAAACATGTTTGGTTTGAGATGTCTGCTAGATCTAATAAAATATCTCATAGGCAGTTGAATGCTTTCGTAAATCTGAAGCACATGAGGGTAAAGCTGGATATAAGCAGTTGGGAGTCAGCAGTGTCAGATGTTGTTTAAAACCAGGGATCAAGTATGAAGGGAGTTTAAATGGAAAAGAGAAGTCTTGGTTCTGGGCATTAAACACTTAAAGGCCTGTTAGGGAATCTAGCTAAGGAAGTTGAAAAGAGCAGTCATTAAGGTAGAGAACAACAGAAGAAATGAAATCTCAAAAAAAAAATTTTTTTTTAATGCATCTCAAAAAAGGTGGAGTGGTTGTCTTTCGTTGAGAGGCATCAAGATGAAGGGTGGATGGGCCTTTTTGGAACCATTCCCATGGAGGGGTATAGCAGAAGCGAATGAGGTGGGAAACCAGAGCATGACTGCTCGGCTCCTTCGAGAAGCGTCAAAATAAATTGGGTGGTTCCTGGAGGGGTGGTGGAATCAGGCAGGAGTTTGACATCTGTGTCTTGTTTTCCTTTTCTTAAACATACCTGCTTTTTTTAACCTGGGTTTTTTTGGTGGTAAAATATATATACATTAATAACAAAGTTTTTTTGAGAAAAAAAGTCCTTTATTTTTATCATTTTTCTCTCCTTTTTTCTTCTAGTTTTACTGAGATGTAATTAACCTACAGAACTGTATAAATTTAAGGTGCATAGAACATTTGGCTTACATACATCAAGAAGTGATCACCACGATGAGTTTAGTGAACATCCATCCTCTCATATATACTAAATTTAAAAAATGTTTTTTTCTTGTGAAAATACTTTTAGGATTTATTCTGTTGACAGTTTTCATATATGTATCTTAGTTATTTTTAGCTGTATAATTCAGTGGCATTAAATACATTTATGCTGTTGTGCAACTATATCCACCATTTATCTCAACTTTTTCATCATCCCAAACTGAAATTTTATATACTTTGAGTAGTAACTCGGTGTTCCTGGTTTCCAGTATTCACTGGTAACCACTATTATACTTTGTTTCTATAAACTTGATTATTCTAGATATCTCATAAGTGGAATCAAACAGTATTTGTCTTTTTGTGTCTGACTTATTTCACTTTAGCATAATTTCTTCAGTCTTCATATTGTAGCAAGTGTCAGAATTTCATTTCTTTTTAAGGCTGAGTAATACTGCCTTTTAGGTGTTTATATACTATAGTATGTTTATCTATTCATCTCTTGATGGAGATTTGGATTTTTTCCACTTTTTGGCTATTATGAATAATGCAAATATGAACATGTATGTGCAGCATCTGTTCTGATATCTGCTTTCATTTTTTGGAGGGTATATACCTAGAGTGTGATTGCTGATTCATATGGTAATTCTGTGTTTAATTAAAAAACAAATTATTTTAATCATGATAAATTTTACCATATTTTATTATACAAAATTTACTATCTTAACCTTTAAGTGTAGTTATCAATGGCATTGAATATTACATGCACATTGTTGTGCTAACAATGCCAACAGCTACCCACAGAACTTTCTTCCTATCTTGTGAAACTGTCTCCATACCTATTAAACGATTGCTGTCTCTTCTTTCTCTCTTGATCCCCTGGCAGCCACCATTTTGCTTTCCGTCTATGAATTTGATTACTATGGGTACCTCGTGTAAGTGGAAGCTTACTTTATGTGTGGTTGGCTTATTTCACTTAGTATAAGCTTCTCAAGGTTCATCCATGTTCTAGCGTATGTCAACATTTTCTTCTCTTTTATGAATGCATAATATTCCAGTGTACATTCATTTTGATGGATACTTGTGTTAACTATGTATGTGAGGGTTTACTTCTGAGCTTTCCATATGTGTGTTTATTAAAATGAGATATATTAATGCTGGATACTGGTGGCAGTAATATAGTAGAGATGAATAGGACGGGGTAATTGCCAAATACATAGAATTCTTTTGAATAGAGGTGATAATTTAGTAGAAAAATGAGTAAAGGTTATGATTAAGTTATTAAGGTAAGAAGAAATACCACAGGACAATAAATGTATTAAAAGATACTCAACCTTATCTAGTTTCAAGGAAATGACAGTTTTAAACCAAAAGAAGTAAAGCTTTTTGGATGGACTTTTGCAGAAAGCTCTTGCTATATATTTCTTCAGATGCTTCCTTTGTTGTCAGTTGCTTTTGTTTTCTGCTAAACAGTTTTAAATTTTTATTTTCAACATCTATTAATAGTATTCATTCTTTGAGGGTTTAATGTTTTTATTTGGAAGGCCTTTTCAGCTCTAAAATAACACTTCCTTGGTTCTGTTTTTACTTTTTAACTTTTTTACATTTAGTTCATTATTTCATATGTAACTTGTTTTCCATGACAGTGTGTAAATTCAGTGATCACCATGCTCAACCCACCCATGAAAATGAACCATGTTTTTTGAAGAGTCTCTTCTGTTCAACAAAATGAAATTCATTTTTTATATTATAGACCGAATTCTCATACTTACATAGTTCTGTTTTTAAATTCATTCATACAGTTGGACTAGGTGAAATTGCCAATGGGACACTTTTTTAAAACATACAAAACAGCAGTTTGGTATTGTTAAGCTAAATGTTTGTTCCATTGTCTACCAGACCCACATTCCTTTTTTTTTTTTTTTGTACAACTACCCCCTCTATCTAGTTCTAAAATACTTTCACCACCCAAAAGAAAACCCTGCACCCATAAAGCAGTCACTCCCATTTTCCCCTCCCCCAGTTTCTGATGACTATCAGCTTGCTTTCTGTCTCTATGGATTTATTTACTATGGATATTTGATATAAATACAGTCATACAATATATGACCTTTCATATCTGGGTTCTTTCATTTAGTATAATGCTTTCCAGGTTCGTCCATGCTGTAGCATGTATCAGTACTTAATTCTTTTTTCATGGTTGAATAACATTCCGTTGTATGTATATACTATACAGTCAGTTTTATCTATTTTTTCTTTTGTCTCCTGTGCTTTGGTGTCATATCTAAGAATCCATTGCCAAATCCAAGATCATTCCTTTGAAGTGAAGATTTACTCCTATGTTTTCTTCTAAGACTTTAATAGTTTGCTCTTGTTTTAGGCCATTGGCTCATTTTGAGTTGATTTTTACATATGATAAGAGGTAGGGGTCCCACTGTACTTTTTTTTTTTTCCATTTATTTTTATTAGTTGGAGGCTAATTACTTCACAACATTGCAGTGGGTTTTGTCATACATTGACATGAATCAGCCATAGAGTTACATGTATTCCCCATCCCGATCCCCCCTCCCACCTCCCTCTCCACCCGATTCCTCTGGGTCTTCCCAGTGCACCAGGGCTGAGCACTTGTCTTATGCATCCAACCTGGGCTGGTGATCTGTTTCACTATAGATAATATACATGCTGTTCTCTCGAAACATCCCAC